ACGACTTAGTTCCACGCATAAGTGTCCCACGACAAGAGCAAGTTGGCTCTTATAGTTTGGTGTATTGGTAGTATATAGCCATATAACATTTCAATTTGTGAAATCTATGAAGCAAAATTAACAGAACATTCTCCCAAAATTGTGGTTGCTACATATTCTTTAAGTACATTATCAAAATTCCATGTGCTCCGAAGTTCTTTAAAGTATGCGAACATAGTACCTGGATCGAATTTCTGCAGAATTTTCGTAGTTTGAGTAAACTAAAGGAGCTTTAAAAAATAATATGGTTTGGATACACATTTTGAAAAAAATTGAGGTTATGATATACCTATAGATCTAAGTAATTCCATTAAGCTAAATCTAAAAAAGCAAATTGTTCGAATTTGCAGAAATTTCAGAAGCGACAACACATTTTAGCAACAACGAACCTAGTATGAGTCCCTGAAAGTTCCACATTCACTCTAAGGTGCATCAACTTGCGAGCAACACGATGTAAGTCTATGGCTGCTGCCACAGCTATTTCATCGCAGTAAGAAAACTGACGATCATTCTTCGCTAAAGCAGCTCGACCTAAATATAATTCCATCATATTCCTAATCAAGATGAGGTCAGAGGAGTTCTCAAATGCTAACCAGTACTAGTAGCGGCGCTAAGAAAAGAGGCGAGCTTGGTGTCGTGTTGTAAATGTGCATTAAAATCAACTTCTTTCTCATGCTTAATTACCAAAATTGGAACATCACATTAAGAAGAGTTGAATTTATATCTAAAACCTACCTTAACGCCTTCAATAAAGAAGGCCTCCCATGGGATTATTACGAGTCTTTCTGCGAGTTTGCTTATAACTATTGACGCAGCCTCTGGATCACCATGAAAATTGAACTCTGCTGACGACTTTGATGCTACGTTGCCAATTCCTGTGATTATAAATGATATGGTTTTCATGTTGAGTAATTTGGCGTTTAATCGTGTAACGAGATTATGAGGTGCGATTAAAAATTACAAAACATACCAAGGTGCTTAAAATGTGTTTTAAAAGGTTTAAAAAGTGATTTAACAGTAAAGAATGTTACCGTAATAAT